TCTTGATTTAGCTGTGAAAGGAAGTATGTGTGAACATGCTGAATAATAGGTCTTTTCTTTTCTTTTTTTTTCTTTTTCATTTTTCTGTTATTAGTTCTCTTTTAGAAGTCTCACAATAAGCCTCTTGAGAAGAATATTTTCTTTTAGAAGTTACACTTTGGGATGCATAGGATTTTTGTGGGGAATGTAAGAATACATGAAGCAAAATCAATTGCCTTTTCTGATAAGTTCATGGTAACAAGAACGCGCAACTGAGCAGTACATAAATCTCTCTCTCTCTCTCTCTCAGATATTTAATGGAACTGATATGGATAAAAGAGTCTGTTATATCTCCAGATTTGTTGAGACTTTAACTTTTAGGAAATCCATTGGAAGCAGAACTGAAGTACAGAACACGACGTCCTTTCAAAGTTACAAAAATTCAAAGATTTACTATAGAAACGGTTATTACAACAATTAAAAACATTTGATTAAGGATACAAAATATTTTGGAAAAGGATCGTTAAAATGTAGTTTAAGATGCCTTAGATTAGCAGATTTCCAAATTAAACAGCAAGATGCCTTTGATTGAGTGGCCTCCTAAGTGATATCTGGACCTAATATAACATGCAAATTTTTTTCTTGTATATCCTTCCATATACTCCATGACAATAGAATAAAGCAATTTAGCAGTAATCTGAATGGCCAATATTGGATCATTGTCAATTTCCATAAATTGAATAGTGAATTTTCTATGTTCTCTTGTCATTTTGTAGTTCTGGTTGCCAGTTATTTATTTTTTATTTTTCTGTCATGCTAGAGTGCATATTTCATGTTGTTTTGATCTGATAAACCTAAAAGTAATTGGGTTTGAAACTGGCTATGAGTTTTTTATAAGTTCCTCTCTCTCTCTCTCTCTCAAGCACAGCCACAAAAATTTTACTTCTTGTTTTCAGCAATAAACAATTAAATGAAGTTTATTGCCTTATTATATTCCTTTTCCTGGTTGCCCATCATTTTCTTGAGGTTTATTGTTTCCATATTTGTGCTTATCCCATTTATTTCAGAAAGAGGAATTCCAGCATACTGCTTATGCTACAAATGCTTATGTCACTATTGGACCCTTATCAAAGTATGTGTTACATGGTAAGATGCTTGATTTTTTAAATTTATGGAATTTTTAGAGCTTCAAATTTTTAAATTCTAATACTTTAATGTTCTAGTTGTAATGGCTAATCATTATGGAGTGAGACAGGGCAAAAGGAAGTCTTTTCTAATTTTTCTTCACATCCTGTGTGGAAAGTTCTTCTTTGCATTCTCTAAGTATCTAGTATTTAAAAGCTTTGAATCAATATAGAAGCTTTTCTGCCTATGAATATTTAAGGTTGTGCAAGTCACTCAGAGTATTTCATGCCGAGTCACTAGTAGCAGACCATAGGATTGCTGCAGAAAAATATGACATGAATGTCACTAAGGGGACCAAGTGTTTAGAAAGCGATATGGGGGTTAAGGGGAGGAAGGAAGGGTCGATTAATAATAGTAGTTTCTTGTGGTAGCTTTGTTAAGAGGTACACGAGCACAAGGGAAAGTGGGGAGTAAATGGGAGTGAAATGGGCGACTTAGTTTAGCTTTCTTAACTTCACGCTAAAATTGCACTTGGAAAAAATCATTGATACCTTTTATTAGCGGGCTTAAACATGTATCTTATGGGTCCTATATTTTATTTATAGGTAGTTATGGCATGTTCAAAAGTTTGTCTTCCTTTTTCATTTTGTTAATAGTGGTCATATACCTGGAATTTTTTCAGCGTGGTTCTTGCAGATCACATTCATAGCATCTTTCTTTTGTAGAGGTAGATAACTATGGTGACTAGTATTATTAAGATGTGTAACACTTCTATTTCTGGCCCACAGGGCTTAATCTGGAGATTGCTAGTACCTATTGAATTTCTAGAGGGGTTTGCTGTAGTGATCTAATTTGCAGTTAAGAAAGACATGGTGTTCTAACATTCCCTGCATTTTGTGCTATTAATTATTATGCTTTTGGGGCCACTGGCAGGGAAAAAAATTATTAAGCTTGAAGTTTCCAGTGGACTAGTTTCCAGTGGACAGAAAGGTAGCTCAAGCATTTTGAAACAATCAAAACGCACTAAATCAGGCGATTTGGAGTTCAAGCTTGACAAGCTACGAAAAGAACTGGCTTCCATTAATGGGGGGATATTCCCCCACTCTGTGTTGTCTACCCAACAAATTAGCATGCTGAGTGTCCAGCAGCCAAAATCAGTTGAACAGGTGAGTGGGTCCTATACTAATGCTTAATTATGTCCATCTGTTGGTGAAAGGCATACCACAAGAGTCGTGTGTGTTAGAACATTGTCAAGCTAAATCAGCGAGGTAAGAACAAAACAGTCTAATAGGTTCTCTGGTGTTGGTTTTCTTGCATGGACTATGGATATATCCAATGGTTTTTGGTGTGGCCTAGATGCATTACATATTTACTCCAGTCACTGTCAAGAAAATCGACAAGCCTCACATAAAGCCTCTTATGGGATTCAGAATTTATTGTTTTGTTGCTTCATCATAGTTAACATCTCATTTCTTTGCAAACTTTATGGTTCTAACTTATATCTGCTCTTTTGCTATGAGAGTAATGGAGGATCTAGTGATGAAATGATTTTGTGCTTATTGCAGTTGGAGAAGGTGATTGGAAAGCTAAAGACACAGAAATATGGTGTCCGGATTCTCGAAGAAATTGAAAATTTTGAATCCAATAACCAATCTAACAACATTTTAGAGAGTCAAATAAGTAGAGCTTCTAAGAAAATGAAATCCACGAAGACACCTGTTATCATAGAGAGTAGTGGAGATGAAGCATGACCAAGTTCTTGTCTCACAGATGAGGTTGGAGTCCCACGCCAGTTTAAAATTTTTGCAGTTCTCTGTCTGTTTCAAAGTGTACAATTAGGAGTAGCACAATTAAAATTCTTCACTGAGCCGGCATTTTGGGCTGTTCGCGTATACAACACATTTACCTATTTTCTTTTCTTGTAGGAGCCATGTATTTTGTCTGTGCAATTACGGGGGAAAAACAGTTGATTCGGACTGTTGGAGGGGGTTTAAGCTTTTGAGTTTTGAGTTTGGTTTGATTGGTTATCATTGCTCTATAGGATCTCTCATCAGAAAAGGTTGATTTAGTAATTAGCTAAATAATTTACCGTGTACACAAGGTGAATGGCTTTTGTCTAAATTTGTTTTGGTAAGTTTACTACTAGAACCATAATGGGCTAGGTTAATTTTTCTTATCGTGGATGCTTAATATCTCCAAGATCTAGCTTAACTAGTAGGAACATTAGTTAAGCGGCTGTGAGGTCCCTCATTTGACTATCAAGTACTTTATTTTTTTCCTTTTTCTTTTTAAGGTTTGAAATCTTCTCTTGGATTAAAAAAAAAAAGAGAGAGATCTTTCTTGTGGGACACGATCCTAGTACGTTTGGATAAACTTTTCTTTGTCTTTCATTTCTCTTTCTTTATGCTTCACATCCACAGCATAAATATCAACTACAACTGCGCCACTAGTAGAGCTCCGGCTAGCCCACTTGTGTTTCGCTCAAGCAATGAAAATTGAAGCGTTGCCTATCTCTGACATTGTTTTCGGCACATCTGACAATGCCATTGGGGCTTTGGCAAACGTCTCACTTTGATTCTATTCGCTATTGCCTTTGGCGTTAGGAACTCGTCTTTTTTCATGACCATCGATTGCAGATTATGTTCAACTAAATTTGTTTTGATTCCTGTACTTTGTATCCAGCGGGGGCTGGGCAGCAAATGTACATGCCCCTGCTCCCAAAGGAGGGTGGCAATTTTTAGCATGTACATGTGAATTGTAAACCTATCAATGTCGTTAAAATTTTCAGTTATCCATTATAGTGAATGCGTTAGTTGAAATCTGTGAACAACCTATTTAATCCATTTGCCCATTATTTTAAATTATTTTAAAATAGTTTTAAAGTCAACCTCTTACGAAGTAACTACTCATAACTCTAATCATTATTCATTTGTGTCATTATTTTGTAGCTAAAGACTATGTTGAACGATATTGGCTTTGAAATTTTCACAGATAGGTAGCTTGAAGAACTATACGAACAATGAGAGGGAGAGGGAGGGGGAGGGGGGTTGGGGAGCACAACTTATTTGAAGACTCAAAATGGAGCACAACTTAGGTAACTAGGCTTAAAATGAAATTTGACGACTCAAAAAATTTGGTACATAATACCATTGGTGGTTTATAATGCAGTATTACGTTTCCGCATTATTGTAGAATGATTGTGGTGTCTTTTTGTACTTGTAAGATAATCTTATACACAATGAAGGAGATGCACACGAATTACACACTTTCCTCAAGAAGTTGAAGTAACATTAAGTGGGATAAAAACCACTACATTCAAAATTTTTGCCTATGAAGAGAAGACTAGGCACTATACAAGATGTTATAAAGTACAATTACAATAGGAAGACAATAAAGTTTCCTTCTGTTAGTTGCCGGCAGAAATTAGTACAGGGTAGAACTTGCATAAAACTCATGCACATTGCACTACTTGACTCCAGCACAATTGCATATTTTCTTATAAGCACAATAATCTACAGCTTAAGAGGAACAGGAAGTAAAAGCTAAGACGAGGAATACGCAGAAAACTAAACACGAGCCAATAATCCATCGCAATTTCGCCGTGCAAATCTTTTGTCTTGTTTTGTTTAATTTATTCTCTTTTTTTTTTTCCTTTTTTCCTTGAAGCTGAGTTTCACATTGGAATGAAGTTTGCGTTTTTATGTCAAATACCACCAATGAGATCTGACATCCAACACAAACAACAGCAAGAAAATACTTGTGAAGTACACGTTTGAGGAGGTTAAAATTTTTGCATCATCACCACAAAACTAGGCTACCCCTGAAAGGACGCATTTACCTGCAACTTATAACACAAGGAGAAGCTCTGTGTCCGAGGTTTGAATATGGGTTTCTTCTGCCAAACAGATAGATTGCTTTCTTCTGGAACCAACAAATGCCTAGGAGGCATAACTTCAAACAGAAAAGGAAAGCCTTTACATCATAATTCCATGCGAAGCAATACACAGGAATGCACCAGGCAAGCTAACAACATTTATGCAATTAAGAAATCTCAAGATAACACATAATGACAGGATCTTGCAAAATAACCTCAGCAATTTCCAAGAAAGCGCTTTCTTTCTAAGGGACATCCGCACAGTAGTAATGGATTAGGTGCTCACTAGAGAGGAAGACCTTTAAAACTGCTTGACAGACTACAACTCTCTACCTTTCTACAGGGAGAAGAACGTAATTGATGAGAACTTTTATGCATCACATAGATATCCCTTCCTAATTCCTGTCCGCCTGAACATATTATTGCTGTCAGCAGCACACTTCACTCGGTGGCAAGTACAACTCATGCACATGCATATCAGGTGCACATTCTTGAGTGGCATGACTCCGGCAATGTGAAGCTTAATCCTTTCATGTGAAAGTAATCATCATATCACCTTCCGATTAAGAGTTTCACAGAGTTGATGAAGTCCTGGATTTGCTCATATTCTCATCCTGTGAGGATGAAGGACTCAAGGATGATGAAGAGAACGCTGCATGATAAGATGAAGAAGCAAGCTGAGCAAGCGCTGGCACAGCACCACCTGTATCATTTAAAGTCCCATCCGAAACATATCAGTCGGTTCAAAACAACAATCAATCAATCACTGCAATAAAAGGACAATATTTTTATGATCCTAAAGAACCAAATGTACCACAAAACCATATTCTTTTCTCTTCTCATTGCACCAGAGGGACTTGAACTGTATATCCATGTTAAAATATAAATTTAAAAAAAAAAACCACAAAAAAAAAGTAAATTGCAGATTGATACTCAACTTCAAACTATATAAATTATATTATCCCAACAAAACAAGAAAGTCAGAACAGAAATACATTTAAACCATAAAGACATCTTTCCCTCCTGTAGACCTTGGTAGTCTTTAGCGCTATTTAAAATTAATTTTTTTTTTTTTAGCAGGGTAAAGGGTGGGATTTAAGAAGCAGGAAGGGGAAACTGGGAAGGGGGATTTGAACCCAAGACAACTAATTCTTAGGCCCTCAGCCTAGCCACTAGACCAAGGACTCCTCGGTGGTAGTCTTAGCACTGCATATGAAAAACATTGCTTTACTGGACTAGTACATAATGAGCTTTTAAGAGATAAACACCCAATAAGATCATCAGAAAATCATTTTCTTTTTCCTTATATGGGTCGTGGGTGGGGTGAGGGTGGGGTTTATAACTTATGCTCCAACATGTATAAAATGGATACATATAAAGAAGATACCCCACTCATTAAGAAATTTATCAAAGTGCCGACTACTTAACAAGAGACTCAGCTGGATTCTTTTCTTCATAGCCTTCAAACCATAAGTGACAGATCATGCATGAATTCCAAGAACTAGAGCAACCTGTGCATGTGATTCCGACAGCTCTGAGAAAAGGAAAGTCACCCCAACCAAAGGGGGTATTTTACATTGTGAAATTTGGTAACAGTTGTTAAGGACTTCAGAAAAGGAAAGATCTCAGGATGCATGTACTATGCTTCTGGAAACTTTAAAGAAGTTGCATATGGTGCAGCTGAGCTAGTCTAAAAACATCATATCTAAAATATACATAAGCAGCCATGACTTGCCTATAGTTTAATTCTTGAGAATATGCTCGGTTCTTAAGGTTAGGAATGACTACTTTCATGCAATTTCTATGGTTGTTGATTTATCTATTTTGGACTTATTCCTGGGGATGGCAGAAGTACTAAAGTGAGTGTATCTCCCATTACATGTAACTAGCATAAGCTCAACCCTAATACTTTCATCGTGCACCTTACAAAAGCTGAATTCTCAATACAGAAATCTCAAGTACTTATAGCTGCTGAGATAATACTTTTGATCATCTAAATTCATTGCTATACCAATTTATTGCTTGCAATGAGAACATATAAGTTGAACCCTATGAGTAAAAGATCTTATAATCTTCCAGATTTCTGATCTTCTTCTTTGATCAAAAGCACGTTAGATATTAGACATAGATGTTTATGTCAATTTCAATGCCATTAAATATGCAAAATCTAAACAATTCAAAACAAAAATATTGGAATTAACAACAAAATCTGACATATCAGGTGCAACAGTTCTTTCATGCCATCAACTGACCTCTCCTTTTATCTTCTTTGACTGAATTATTAGGCACCAATGCCCTACCAGATCTATACTGCTTTAGCTAAGTATACAAAATAATCTTGAAATTCACATCGACATTAGGTGGAGAGATGCAAGTTCAATAATGGAATAGGACAAGTTGCATCTTGATTCAGACCCTTTATAACATTGTCTCCTACAAAGAGAGGTACAGACAAATGGATGAAAAGAATTTAACATGGTATGGTACTGCCTTTTTCTGTGTAAATCACTGGTATAGTGTTCACTGATCAAGAAGTTATCCAACAATATTGTAACTTGTCAAATGACAAAGTGCATGTTCCATTTATTTTGCCATAATGTCCAGTGTCACGAATGCATGAGTTTTCCTCGTTAAAAATATCGCCAGAGCAAGGAATGTCATGTTCTTATTGTGGTTATGGTTATATGGTTAAAATTAATGTCTCTTATCGTGTTTGAAGTGTTAGCCTCTGACATATATCTAACAAGGACAATAAGCTTACCCATGTATTTTATGGCCTTGCAACAACAAAACTTCTAAAGGACTACATAAGTTAATTTAGAACCATTCAACCATCTAAGCCACACATTAACACATAACAGTCCCAACTCTAGAATCAGACCAGTTTAAGAAAATATGTAATGAAACTGAAAGCAAAAATGCAATACAGACATACTGGCAAACTTGAGTGGAAAAGGGTTATAAGTTGGTGAGTTTCTTTGTTAAGTCCTAGAGAATAGATGTCAAACACAACCACTTCAATCTGAATAAACTTCTTGATACACAAAAACCAATCTAAAGATTCACAACAATTGTGGAAATTCCCACTAAAAGAAATTAAGCCCTACATGATTTGGACTCCAATTTAATTGAATAAACATATTAACAAATTTTGAAGAAGTATTATCTCATTGATCAACTGGAACACCCAACAAAGGAAATGAATTAAACTTCATTATCGAGCGTCTTGTCTGATTCTCCACACACAGACACACAAAAGCCTAAAATCAGAGATATAATTTGCAATGTATTTACTTTGTAAAAACTAACATAACCTTTCGTAATACAAAGGTCAAAAAGCAACATGCTCCAGTAAATCTTTTCTATTTTGAAGTACCATTTTAAACCCAAAAATAATTTTACAACTCTCAGGAGATAAATGCTAACCTGCCAAACCAGCACAGGCTGATGAGAAGACAATAACAGGTGGGGCCTGAAAAAAGGATAGGAACTATATGTTAGAGAACTTATTTAGGCAGAAAGAGGAGGATAAAAGGGAGGAAAAAAGAAGAAAATGTGAGCAATAATCTTTAATCAAGAAAACAGAGCTAGACATACAAACGCATTTAAAGCGGACACAAACATAGAACAAATTGCATATAAGGCTTCATGCACATTCATTTTTCTACTTCACTATGGAGAAGATTCTTGCATCCTACTGTGAAATGTGCATGTAAAATGTACATATCTATTATTTTTAATGCGGCAAATTTAAGTCATCAAGTCCATTGAAGAATCAGATAGAGCAGGTGCCTCATAGCATGGCTCCAATACACTTTGACATGGAATTTTCTCATCATCATCAAATTTGCAACACCAAAATCAGAGTAAATTTCATTATATGCACGCTTAACATTCAGTTTAGTTAAGAAAGGCCAAAATACTTCTTTTTCTTGCACATAGAAAGATAAGCATTATCTGTAAATAAGGAATTTTATCCAAGGAGGATAACCTGATATGCCTAATCTGCATCAACTCTTGCAATTTAGCATCGAGAGGATGAAACTCAGGCAACAAGGGAGAAAACATGAAGTGAGGCCAAGCAAATTGCAAACCGAAACGAAACAGCATGACTTGTTACTTGTCATAAAAGAGAACATCATGATTCAAGATTCAATTATCTCACAACAGTAACTTGAATACTTAAACAATCTCTCATTAAATCATCCACATTACTTCGTTGATGTCACATAAGTACAGACCATTTAATATAACAATGGCTTGAAAGAGACAATTGGGCACAGACATGTTCCACGTATGATTATTGAGAGTAGGCTACCTTGAGATAGAAATTTGAAGTTTTTAAAATCCTATAGCAATCTGATTTCTGAGAAAAGCGTTGTAAAGCAAAACAGATTAAAGGCAATTTTTGATGGACGAGAAACACTCTCTTGAAAAGAAAGCATCCAAGGAAAAACTTATGAATTGGTAAAAAAGGAGGATCCAACAAATAACCAGTAACCTCAACATTGTTTTATAAGGGACAAAGATGCATGAAAGCATGTGCAAACTAACTATAACAGTGTTACTCTTTTATCTTTTGAAATACCTTTGACATAATTATAATTCATTGCAACCTAAAATAACTGGACCTTTTAAAACTAGATTGAGCTCATACTATCAGTCTACTCTAGTACCATCTATGCTATAAAACCAGAAGATCAAAGCTACAAAATATGGCCATGTAGAACGAACCTCGTGCAGGATTTTTGAAGCTTATTCTATATGTAAACTTTCTTTATGTGGATTCACAACATGGAGAGACTCTTGCTAGAGGTGTAAAATACACATGCCAAACTACACCCCTAAGTTGTTCAATAACTCATTAATGCCCGTCTTCCATACACCAATAAAATTTTGTATTCCAAACTAAATTCTGAAATTTTTCATGAATGTTCACATGTCCAAAAGGCACGTCTTAATTTGAAAAAATCTTCTGCAAACAGAGGACGAAGTATAACAGTACAAGATCTTAGCCGGAAAGAAAGAGAAAAAAAAAAATCAATGATGAGAGGACTTACACCAACAAGAAAATGGAGCAACATGGGTCCTTTAATCCTCCTCTGAACAATAGGCATTACTGGGGGAGAGGGAGAGAGAGAGAGAGACAACAATGCTAAGATGTTAAATACAAAACACAATATCAGAGAGAAACAATCATCCTATACAACCCAAAAAATAATTTAAAAAAAAAAAAAAAGATTGTTGGCTATATGGTATTAATACTTGGAGAAAATATAGAGGCATACATATGAGAAATGCAACAAGTTCACGACACTAATTCACATGGCTATAAAGTCAAAACGGCCTATTAAACCTGGCGGCCTACAAAAACCACACATAACAAACTAGAAAGGTAAATGGTGTAACAATCAGCCAAGAATCAGGCAGCAGTATAGCACATCCCCATATGATTATCTAAGCAGTTCCAGATACATAACAACACTGAGATGGTGTGATTGTACCATAACTCAAAGCAATATCAATGAAAAGCAAATCCTAATGCATCATCCAGCAAGGACCTTGTCCAAGCTACTCCTGCTAATACATAATTACTCCACTTTCACAAGCATACAAGAAAAAATAAATTATCACAGTCATCATTTATATTAGTTATAACTAACATTCATGATCCAAAATAATATAGCAAACACAAATATCAGAAATTTTATAACAATCCTACTTGGTGATAATTCTTTTAATATTCTTAAATTTAAGCAATATAAAGTGATACTAAAAAATACCAACAGTGAACCAGAAATAAAAAACACGAGTAAATAAACAAAACCAAAGAAATGGTCAAAATCATACCGTAATTAAACCCATAAAATGCACTGGCCGTGCCACCAACAGCAGAACCAATCTAAATCACCAAAAAATGGGTAAAAAAAATTGAAAAAAAGAGCAAATCCTTAAACAGACCTATTACCACTCAATTGAAAAATTGTACCATAGAAAAACTGTCTCTGATGAGTGGTGGCACAGTCCATTGGCTAGTCTCCTGGCCATTCAGTCATAAAACAACGAATCAATAAAGAAATCAGATATACTAATTAGCAACACTTATAACAATAAAAAAGAAATGTACGTTAAAGAAATGGACAGACCATCTCTTTAGAGAGAGGACCAGCACAATGAGGGCATTTAAGACAATCAACAGCTTTTGTTCTCCGGCTACTTGCTCTAGAATTAGCATTGGTAATAAGATTTGAGGAGGAGGAGGATTCTCCTTGTTTTTGCCCCATTACAATCACAGACAATTAAAAAGTAGCAGCAAGGACGGGAGTTGGCAAGGCCTTACAAAAAACAGAGAACAAAATGGTTAAATGTTTCCTAAAATTTGCCCATAGTAAACCATACATACGTATAACTGGAGAAAAAAATCCAAATAAGTCAAAGTTACCTAAAAAAAACATAGCATCAACATAAAAAGTGTTTATAGAGATTCAAGTCCTAAATAGGTGAGATATCACCTCCTGCATGAATTAATGGTGTAATTTCTACTCTTATACAAAACTAATGCTATACAGAACCCCAAATTGCTACAACCCATTACTCTTCACCATAAAAGGTCCTTGGTTTCATGAGTCCCATTAAATTACACAGTACTTCAAAGAACCAACTTGTTGAACTTATTTAAAAAACAGCGCAATAAAGTTAATCAAACCACAGCCCCTCTCCTACAATCCCAAGACCAAAATAAGCAAAATTATTTTATTAAAAAAAAGAAGAACAAAGCCAATACTCGTTCAACTTCCTAAAATTTTTAAACAGCAAAACCCAAGATCATAAGGGTCAGATTTTCCAGAACCAATTCTAATTGCAAGCACATACTTATTTCTGTCCTGGAGCATTTACAGCTTTGAAACTATAAGTAAAAGAAATAGAAGAAAGGAGCAAAAGAGTGGCAACAGTGACAAGAAATTCACCTTTTTTAATCTGAATTTCAATGGATTGAATCCATATCTTAATTTGATCTCTGTGTCTTTATATTTTTTCGATTTCCTTCTTCAAATCCGCCTCAAATTTCTTCTTCTGATTCTCATTCTCCGTATCATAAACCTACATTAAAAAAATCGCAAATGAACAAAAACTGACATGCATTGAAACCAATTAAGCATAAAAAAGTTTACTTCAACAAAAAAAAAAAAACTTTGTTCCAAATGCTTTCCCAGACGTCGACGCCCTCTGCAACCTCTTCAGAACCCCCCAAAAAAAAAATCTTAAGAACCCAATCGTTTTCCTCCCTAGAGCTCCAGACTTGCGCCCTCGGCTGACTGAAAAAATAAAACAAAAGAAAAAACAAACCTTAAGCCGAAATAGTCATATCGGAAATGCACAACTAGGGTTTTTTTCTTTACGACAATTAGAGATTGAATAATAAAAGGGATGTTCTTCTTCTGTTCTGTTTTTTTTTTGTTATTTTTGTGATTTATTAGGGTTTTTTCGGGCGCTAAGCACGCTTAACCATTTAATCTGCAAACACTTAAACTAGGGGTGGCAATGGGGCGGGGGACACCTCCCTCATCCCTAGCCCGTTGCATTTTAATTTCCCCCACCCCCGCCCCGTCCCTGCCCCGCCTCACCTCTCCCGCGGGGGCATCTGTAGAATTAAAAAAATTTTATTATATAATTTTATTATAATTAAATTTGAGCAAATAATTAAGTATTAAAATATTAATACATCACCAAATTATTATTCATTATAACTTCACAATTGAAACTCATAAAAATAATTAAACAAATGTTATTTGAATACAATCTAATATGATAAAACAAATATAACTAAAATAATCAAATTTTCACTTTTGATACAAATACAATCACTAAATTATTATTGTATTTTTTTTAGAAAAAAGTGTTATTGTATTAAGTGTAGTTAGGAATTTAACATAAATGTATTAATAAATTTAGTATAAATAATTAATAATTTTTATTAATAGACATGTATAATTAGTAGTATAATTGATAATATCATTATATATATATAATTATGTACATATATATATATATATTTTTTCAAACGGGTGGCGGGGCGGGGGAGTATACCCCCGCCCCCCGCCCCGTTTCTAAACGAGGGAAAAAAATTCCCCCCCCCTCCCGCCCTCGTTGCCATCCCTAACTTAAACCCCCTGAAAGTGTGGTTAATTCTATTTTGCACCCCCCAAATTTAAATAGTAGGCCCTTCGTCCATGGTGGAATTTCTTATCATTTTGTTTTTCTTTGGGCAACCAAAAAAAACTAGTATCAAAGCTACTGCCCTTTTAATTTTTACCTTTTATTTACTATTTCTGTATTCCTTTTTATTTAGTTCAATGCCCATGGTTCGTTTTAGTTTCATTCGCAAAAATCCAAAGAGAGAGAGAGAGTAACAATAAGATATGTAGTTATTTTCTTAAGACTTATCACAAGTTTATGTAACAGAATCTTAATGGTGCATCAGTTTCGTTACTCAAGATACAAAAGTTAACAAAACCATCTTGAAATTGATTTTTGAATTGTCTTGATTGCAATTGACTTATCACAAACAATTACTATTGTGATTTTGAATTCTTATCTTCATCCCATCCAAATCTTTCGAGAATGAATCTTTAGAATTCACTTGAAAACATGGCAGGGTCTATCTAATTTATCATGTGTTTAGCCGCTTTACAATAGTGGAGTCTACTTGAGTTACTAAGCAACATTTGGTTGAGCCATTGTTGCATTATAATTAATATAAGGGTACAAGTCTTGAGTATTTTATATGATTATAACACTTGACTTGGTTCAGCAATCTTAACTCACCTTAACATTGCAACCTATTTGTAGGAGCATAGGGTCTATTGCATGTCAGGGCAGAGATTGAAAGGCATATTCTAGAAGTGAGTAGCTGTGAAATGTATCCTCTATACATATAAAAAGGAGTTGGTGTCTGACTGTTGGGTGATTTTCATCTGACATTTTGAGGGGCAAGTTAGTCAATGCATTAAGAGGTTACAATTGAGTAAGGGTCCAGTACCACCATGGTATGCGGATTGATGCGTACGTTGCCTATCTAACCTTAGTGGGTTGGTGTTTCGGCTTTTCTCTTCAAAATAACCGTTAGTGATGCAGTTGAGACAGCAAGTGCCTTCGATCGAGGTTGTGCAAGTCATTGAGCTTGTGCAAAGAGTTGGAGGGGTTACGTTGAGTAACTGAAACACAATTAGCCTAACATGAATGCATTTACAACAAGATTAATTCTTTGCTTGATAGTGGAAATGTAACTACAGGCTTTCTCTCTTCTGAAGATTCACAAAAGCAATTGAGTTGCTGTAAAGAGTTGGATGAGATTAGAATGACCAATTATGGGTTCTTTAATGTAAGAGTAATGGATGGAAGATGAGGGACCTATTGGAAATCATGTCTGAACTAAAATGGAAATTCTCTTGATTTTCTGAAGCATTTGCCGAGCAATTTCTTTTCGAGAACCTAGAATAATGGGTCGTTAACACAAAGTCTGGTTGCATGAGGTGCTTAATCTTCATATTACTAAGGTGGTTGCTGAACATGTAAGGTTTTTTGCTCTGTGTTTTTTCAGGTACTTACTATCTGTTTGTATATCAAATTTCTAAATGAACCAGTGAATTCATTGTTCAATTTAGAAGGGCAAATTATATTTGTCATTCTATTATGCAATTTTCACGTTTTGCAGATTTAGAAGCAAGAGAACTATATTGCAGAAGCTTTCTCATCAAGGTACTTTCCAGCAGCACCTCTGACCTTGATGTACTAAGTCAAATAATTGTTCCAATTAACTCATTATTTTGGTGTGCATGCATTGCTGTTATTTTAACTGCCATTTCATTTGTGTGTTGTTCTGTTTTGTGTGCTAATTACCATGGGAAATTGCCTCTAACTACTGCAATTTGGACTTGGGAATTAGTCTTATCTACTATGTAGAAAAAAAGGTCCCTGGCAGAGCAAGTTCAGAACAAAGATCTCTATTGCTTTCAGTCTCAACAACATTCTTCCACCTAGCAATGAAACTACTCAAATCTTGCAAGATTAGATTGCAAACAGTCTCCTGTGACTGTAGCTTTCCTTGAAACTGACTCATAGTTCCACTTCTTTAAATATGGTAAAATGTAGCAGCAAATGCTAACTTTCAAATTGTAACACCAAATATTTCTAGAATATTATTCTAACGGCTAAATTCCTATACATGTAGGAGAATGAAGATTCTTACTTTGTTGTCTATTTGTTAAAGTTTGTCTTTTGTTAGTTAGGTCCATAAATGTTTCCTTTCTCTCTTTCTTTCTTTCTTCCTTTCTTTTCATCTATATGATGATCGATTTGCTGTGAAAGAATAAGTCCACAATTTTCATTGCATAATCACCTATATGGTTGTGAACCTGTAGTCTATAAATGGTCTGTATTTTTCTACAAGATTGACTTAATTGAGTAGGCGAAGTATGCAATAGCAATTGTTACAATTACATCACTATTGATTGTATTTTTCACTTACAAACTACATCCCCTACACAGGTTACAACTCCCGCCCGAGCGCGGGTGCCATCCCTAGAAGGAAGTTTGGAATTCAGTTGCTTTTTTGACTTTCTTCTACTCATGTGGGGGTTATCTTGTGTTAGGGAGAAACATTTTGATAGAACCCACCAAAGAGTCTAATATGTAAATCAAGAACTTAACTCTTACCCAAAAACTTAAACCATTAGGTGTTTAAACCTTGCCAAACTCTTAAACTATTTTTTTTCCTCTCTTTTTTTTATATCATTCATTAAGTCCCATAGGTTTGATCCTATAGAATTTGACCCATTTCTCATTGAACAAGGGGTACGAAATAAATCAGATTGATTTTTCGATCAAAAGTACTTTGTGAAGAGAATTTTCATGGCGCACCTGGTCCAACACCAACCAAACTCTTTAGCACTTCATTCCATCGTCAAGAAGAGAATTTTCACCGGTCCAACTCTGGGAAAAATTTACTTGTCCATGAGTAGCTCAATCTCGCAATCTGAAGTTCTTATACCATTACGTTGAGAGGTACCAAGTTTCAAAAAACCACAATACGCAGCAAAAACCTCCCCAATTTGTTAGAACAAATTAGGAGTGTTAAGCGAAACAAAAAATCAGCAACTAACAGAAGATAAATTAACCCACAAATACAAAAGAAACAACCACAAGAAGACACGTGAAAAACCTTTCCAATGTAAAGAGAAAAAATCACAAGACTCTTGAACCCACCATAAATTACTCCACTATCACCAATTAAAAGTAGAGTACAACTTTCAGCAAGTACACAATTGAGATATGGCTTTAAACAATCAACAAAGTCACCAAATCCCAAATAAAGAACAAAAGCTGTGAAAAACTTTACCGAGAAACAGTAGTAGTTCAAAATTTATAATTAAAGATTGAACCATTGAAATCCGATCTCTGAACATAGAACTCGATGTCCTCTACCTTCAGTTAAAATTTCAGGCCGATCAGATGTCGTTTGCTATGTCAATTGGGCAATTTACCGCAACTGCTCAAACCAGAAACTTGCTGAAATTTCTCTTCAAAATTTTTCTACGTTTTTCCCACTTTTCTGCTTCTAGAATAAACCTAATTTGACCTATAAATAGGTAGGGCAACTCCTTAATAAGTCTAGACAATTACCCATTAATTTTGGACTTTCCCACATAAGTTGGGAGCCCAAAAACCCAACAAATCTCCCTCTTCCCGACTATGTGGAGGAACTTGCCATTTCGGCAAGTGAGCAACATACTTCAAACTTTCATCTTGGGAATGACTTAGTCATCATATCAGTACCATTGTCATCCGCATGTATCTTTTCAAGTTCAATCAACTTCTCATTCAACACGTCACGTAACCAATAATATCTCACATCAATATATTTAGATTTAGAATGAAAAGTTGGATGTTTTTCAAGATGAATTGCACTTTGATTGTCACAAAGTAACCTATACGTCTCTTGAGAGCAACCAAATTCCCTTAGAAACTTTTTCAACCACAACACCTACTTGCATGCTTTAGTAGCTACAATAAATTTGGTTTCAGCGGTTAACAATGCAACACATTTTTGCAACCTAAATTGTCAAGAAACTACTTCCCCTATAAAAGTAATCAAGTAATCCAAAGTAAACTTCCTTGTATCAACATCTCCAACTATATCAATATCAGTATAACTAGTGAGGACTAACTTTTCACTTCCAAAACAAAGTTTCAAATCTGAAGTACCATGGAGATATCTCAAAATCTACTTCACGGCATTCCAATGTTCTCTCCCAGGTTATGAGAGAAATCGGCTCACGGTACTGACTGCATGAGCTATATCAGGTCTCGTACACACCATTGCATACATGAGATTACCAACCGCAGATCAATAAGGAACCTTCCTCATATATTCCTAATCTTTTTCAGTAGAAGGACATTGTGACATACGCAAATTCAAATGCGTTGCAAGAGGAGTGCTAATAGGTTTAGTTTTCTCCATTCGAAACCTTTGAAGTACCTTTTCAATGTACTTTTTCTGTGATAGTCAAAGTTTCCTTAC